TGCCATTGGGCTACACTAGCAAGCGACAGGGACAAATGGAGACGTTACTGGCGCCCGCTCGAGCAAATCGACGACTAACAGGAAGTTAAGTGATTAAGTGATAAAATGGCTTCAAATAACCTGTTCTTGATACTTTCTTGACATTTGATAATCTTTCCAATTTTAACCAAAAAATACTTTAAAGTAGTATTTTTAACTTGAATCTTTTAACTGTCAGTGAGGTCCAAAGTTTTTCATATAATTTGCTTGACATTTGCATAGATTATTTTTCTGTCCACTTTCATTGTTTTATTATTCTACTGTGATAACTTCTTGTATTTAAATAAATTATATCTTTATTTCATTATCTGTCCTTCCACTTTGTGTATGACCTTAGGCTTTGCTATATAGAAGTTTTCATTCTGAATCCATAACTTTATACATTTCCCCAATGATTTGAATGTTATTACCATAATTGCAAAGGTCTTCCTAAGTTATTTTATTTTCTTTGCTTTTTAATCAAATCCTTTTGTTTGATAGCATAATTGGGAATATAATTGGAGGAAATTGGTGTATCTGGTATATTTTTCCAAATTGGTGTGCTCCATTATTACAGAATAGTTAGTGAAAGCTTATGAGTTAGAAGTCCCAAATATTCCAGAGTATTCTTTAATGATAAGAAGAAAGAAACAGGAAGTTAGACAGAGTTGTTAATCAGCTTAAAAAACTGTCTTCTCGGGCAGTACTCTAAATACCCTTCTTTTCTTCTGGACAGAGTGTTTAATGGTTGCCACACAATCCCAACACTAATTATTATAGCTCTAGAACCTCTGTGACAGAAAAAAAAATGTGAACAAAACTTACATAGAGGGTTAAAAGGCTCCTTTTGGATTGTGGGAGAGGGACATTTTGTGGTGCATAGCTTATATTTACATACCCTGTTCAGAAATACTATAGTTTCCTGATTCATCTGGACATACTTGAAAAAGAATTGGGGCTGATGAGATTGGAATGGTCTAGTGACTTGTGAGTTGCTGAGGGTAAGTTAAGAGACAGATAAGCTGCTGGCTTATTTGCCCTGTGCATTTAGTTGGTCTTGCTCCTTTTAATTAGGAGAGGCAGTGTGCTACTGTGGCTATTCGTGTAATTACCTACATGACCCTCACCCCCCCCTTTTTTTTCTATGCTGCTTTGGGTTTGTGAGAGATATGATGGAAGTGGAGCAAAGGAGAGTGTTAGTTTTCCAGATTCCTTAACAGCTCTGTATCTGTGCTCTGCTGGACAATCACTGAAGTAAAACAACAACAAAAAAAGAATTTCATGGTTTCCCCTCAGAGACATATCTTCCCATGTGTTCCTCTCCAAGATCCACTATTGACTTATCCAGTAATTTACGGCAGTGTCAATCTGGTAATTCATTTGAAAAGTAGAAATATGTTGAAAGCAGGAGAGAGTTCTTCCATCATACGTGTTGAAGATCACCTTGACATCATGAGCCTCTTATTTATTTATTTATTTATTTATTTATTTATTTATTGCCCTCAGGGCCATTCAATAGCTCAACTATGTATTATCACTCCATTCCCCATAAGGGGATGATGTTTATGTTAAAAATAATTATTGGGTGCTGGAGTGATAGTACAGTAAGTCAGACATTTGCCTTGCTCACAGCTGACTTTTGAGCTGTTCAATCCCTGGGCCCCCATATTGTCCCCCAAGCCTGCCATGATCGATCCCTGAGCACCATTGATTGTGGCCCACCCCCTGCTCAGTAAATGAAAATAATTAAACTAATTAAGGAAGAAAAACATAGGGAAGGAAGTATCTTCCACAGCAAAATAAAAGCACGCTAGAATCTTCAATATGTTGTTCGTTCATTGATACAAAATTTATTTGAGTCTTGCTATATGCCAAGCATTATTTTAGAAGTGGAGGACACATCTAGAATAATAATAGTAATCATTAATAAAAGCATTGAAATATTACTATCTACAGTGTAGTAATAAATGTTTCACATATGAGCTGGAGAGATAGTATGCACTTGCCTTGCATGTGGCCAACCAGAGTTCAATGACTAGCACTACATCTGGTCTCCTGGGCATCATCAGGAGTGGTTCCCTGAGCACCAAACAGAAATGCTTACTGTGGAGTAACTCATAATTTCAGATCAAATATGTATCAAGTGAATATTATAATTAAAGTACTCTTATAATATCATGCAAAGGGAAGGAAAGTAAGGTTTAGAGTCGTTCAATGAGTTTCTCAGAAGCAAACTGTTAAGGATTCAAGTTGGGATAAATCCCAGTAGAGTTTTTCCACTTTCAAATTGTTTTCTATTAAAACTACATTAGGTAAAAATAAGTCCCTGCCCCTGTGGAGCGTTTCGTCTAAACTACAGAACATTTATTTTCAAATGCTCTTTTTGGGGAGGTGTGGAGGATTTGGGGTACAGCAGGCAATGCCCAGAAGCTTTTCCTGGCTCTGTGTTTGGGCATCTCTCCTGGTGGTTCTCAAGAGGCCATAAATGGGTTCAGAGATTAAACCAAGATCATCCCTATACAAGGCAAGTGCCGTAACCCCTGTATTATCTCTCTAACCCCCAAATCTTTTAAAAATATGTCTTGGGAATGGTATGGATTATCTCTAGAGCAGTGGTTGTCAACTTTTTTCCTCTTTCAAATCAGCACCTTACCCTGAATCAGCAGTTCAAACTCAGTGCTCCAGAGAACCTTTCTCCCCTTTCAGCAGGTCTTGGACTGTTGACACATGCTCAGTTGATGGAATTACTTGATGAACTAGGTTTCTTTTACCAAAATCAGATTCACTGCTCTCTTCTGTATCCTAATCATGTCCTCTGCATTGCATCCTTTGCCTGGTTGGTCCTTCTCCTCTCTTGGTTCCCTCCTTTATTTATTTTTCCTCTCCCATCTAGAAAATTTACTATAATACCAAATGTCACACAAGATAGTTTTGAAGGAAAACACAGAATGGAGAGAAATTTATACAGTAAGTGAAATGAGCTGTTGATAAATGGCTTAGTAAGCCTAGAGGTTCTTCTTCAGTTTTCTCTGGCATTTAAGAGACTTGGGATTCCAAAAGCAGATCCACTCCATTTTACTGTTGCTAATTTCATTTTTCCCATAATTAACAACTCAGTTCATTATAATTTCAGCTCGCATTAATCTTCTCTTTCGTGAGTTTAGTAACATTTGGAGTCATTTCCCTCCGTATTTATCCATCTGGGATCTTTAGAGATGATAAGTTTGCAGAACTTTAGAGATGATAAGTTTATTGCATTGCTGCAAGAGGAATGATGTTTTCCATGTTTCTCAGACCTGGTAGGGAATCATCTGAAGACAGGCAGAGACTCTTCATAATTTAGAGAGGTCCCTCAGTAGAGTTCCATAAAGTCTTCAATTGGGAATGATTGAGAATTGGGACTATGACAGATCAGGATTCAAATCACAACAGGCAATGCTTCCTGGATCCTGACTGTCCTCAGAGACCAGATGGAATTGGGAGAGCTCTGGAGGTCATGGAGAGAGTTGCAAGATTAATGAGTCAGAACAGAGCCTTTAGCTTGAGCCTCCTCTTTGTCTTCTAAAAGCTATCTGACCTTGGAAAAACCACATAATCTCTCCATGCCCCTCCTCCGTGAAATAGTCCCAGACATTCTTGTCTTTTCTGTAAGAAAGAGGGTTTTGATACCTAGTTTATATTCTCATCTCAAAGCTTAATAGCTCATATCTTTTTCATATCACTTAATTTTTTCAACTTGGAGAAAACCTTGAGCACTAAAAATTTTCATATTTTATTATTTACATGGTATATTTCACATAATTTGTTGAATATTTTTATGATCTATACTTATAGAAATTGTACCATATATGTATATAAATGGTTATTAGCATAGTTTGTAACTATAATAATATGATAATACATTATTTATCATACTCTCACACTATAAATGTACCATATAAGTATATTTCATATAGTATACAATATCACCATTATATATGTGTGATATATATGAAATGAAAACTAGGCTACTAGGAACATTGTATAGTATTTCTTAACTCATAAAATAACTTGAACACATACTTAAATATCTGCTAGAGAGGAGTTATAGTGAATAAAAAAAAAACAGAACTTTTTGGAAATTGAACTAAAAATATCCTCCCATGTAGCATGTATAGTCAGGAGGTCGCAAGAGAAGCAACTCTTTGTAGATTTCTGGTTTTCAGTCTCTAGCAACATTTTCTTTTCTTTCTTTTCTTTTTCTTTGTGAAGACTAGAATGTTCTTACTCATTTCCTAATAGAATAAAATTTCTTCTTTTTTTTCTCTCCTTTTTTTTTACTTTTAGGGTCACACCTGGCAATGCACAGGGGTTACTACTCCTGGTTCAAATCAGGAATTACTCCTGGCAGCACTCAGAGGACCATATGGGATGTTGGGAATCGAACCTGGGTTGGTTGTGTGCAAGGCAAACACCCTACCCACTGAGCTATTGCTCCAGCCCCTAGAATAAACTTTCTTTAGAGAAAACATTCTATACTGGACTTTCATTCAAAATTAGTTATGGCTACTTTTCCAGTCTATGGCCATTAACCACAAATCAGTATTATTTGTTGTTATTGTCCAATTATGAGGTTAAATGCTTCTAGGGAAAGGGAAGAGGCATAGGTACATTTTATCATTATAGAATTTTTCTGTGGTTCAGGATGTGAAAAAGTCTAGTAGAAACAAGAGAAATCTGAACTGTAGGGCTCAAATTTTACACAACTAGAAACAAGGCAGCATAATTCGGAAATGTTGTCACTTACTGATAGTCCTCTTTCTAGCACCTGGGATTTAAATAAGAGATTCCTATTATGCAGATAATTCCTAGTAGGGTTGATGGAAATTACCTGCACAACCAATCCTTTTGCTTTATAGAATGCCAGACATTGAGCGCACTTTTAATTGAAACATACCATCCTTTGCAAAAGTGCTAATTGCATCTGCTTCCCTTTCTTTTAGGTAGCCAAGCAAGAACAGGAATAATGAAGAGACACACATGTTAGTTACAGCCTTCGGAAACACGCAAGCAGAAGATCAACAGTGTGAACAGAGCTGAAACGGTTGCCATGCTTGCTTGTTGGAGTAAATGAGGAATGGGCTTGTGATTATGACATTCCAGCATGAATCTGGTAGACCTGTGGTTAACCCGTTCCCTCTCCATGTGTCTCCTCCTACAAAGTTTTGTTCTTATGATACTGTGCTTTCATTCTGCCAGTATGTGTCCCAAGGGTTGTCTTTGTTCTTCCTCTGGGGGTTTAAATGTCACCTGTAGCAATGCAAATCTCAAGGAAATACCTAGAGATCTTCCTCCTGAAACAGTCTTACTGTATCTGGACTCCAATCAGATTACTTCTATTCCAAATGAGATTTTTAAGGACCTCCATCAACTAAGAGTTCTCAATCTGTCTAAAAATGGCATTGAGTTTATTGATGAGCATGCCTTCAAGGGTGTTGCTGAAACTTTGCAGACTCTGGACTTGTCTGACAACCGGATTCAAAGTGTGCACAAAAATGCCTTCAATAACCTGAAGGCAAGGGCCAGAATTGCCAACAATCCCTGGCACTGCGACTGTACTCTCCAGCAAGTTCTAAGAAGCATGGCATCCAATCACGAGACAGCCCACAATGTGATCTGTAAGACTTCAGTATTGGATGAACATGCTGGGAGACCGTTCCTCAATGCTGCCAATGACGCTGACCTTTGTAACCTTCCTAAGAAAACTACTGACTATGCCATGCTGGTCACAATGTTTGGCTGGTTCACTATGGTAATCTCATATGTGGTGTATTATGTGAGGCAAAATCAGGAGGATGCCCGGAGACACCTTGAGTACTTGAAATCCCTGCCAAGCAGGCAAAAGAAAGCCGATGAACCTGATGACATTAGCACTGTGGTATAGTGTCCAAACTGACTGGCATTGAGAAAGAAATTTGTTTTGCAATTACAGTAGAAAATAAGGGGTTTCCTTTTCCCCATCCATTGTAAACAGTTACAACTTTGTATTGCAGTTTCTTTTGAATCATGCCACTGTTGAACTTTTAACAAACATGACAACATAACAAATCATTTTAGTTTAGGTGATCTACCCCTTGACTGTACCCCTAGTGGTTTCTGAGTAAAGCTTGTCTCTGAACATTAGTTAGAACCATCTCACTATTTAATAATGAAATTTATTTTTTTAATTTAAAACCAAATAAAAGCTTAACTTTGAATCATGGAAAACAGAGTGACTTATTGGTAAAGAAAACAGTACAGTCATTTCAATTGCTTTAAAGGAAAACTGACAACACTTGTGAACCTAAAGAACTATCATAATGAAAGATGTGTTGTTTATCCCTACTCTACACTGGAGAGCAATAACAGAAATATTGACCAAGTCAAGTATCTGTCAGAGTTTAAAATACTATGGCATAGCGTACTCAGTACACAGTGGAGCATCTTGCAATGTCTTAAGTTGGGATGTCTCTGTTATTTGCTACCAAAGTATTTGCTATCTAAAATATTTAGTGCTTGATTACAACTAAAAAAATGATAGGAACAAAACACATTCCATATTTTATCTGAAATATTACCTTCTGGTGGACAGGAATGCGTGACAAACAGAAACAATGATACTTAAAGGAAAGTTCTAAGAAGTCTAATAGCAGCAACTATATGTAAACTCTCTGAGGTCATTTTTATACTTATGTTCCAAACCTTCCTTACAAGAGAAGACTGTGACAACTGTCCCATTTGTGCAGGAGGAAATTGCAGGAGAAAGAGGCCAAATAACCTATAGACTAGAAGTATTAGAATTTGGCTTTGAACCAAGTATTCCTGCCTCAGTGATTGGAAGTCTTCCTATTACAGAGTATAATTATACAATGGTTTGGTTGATCAAAGGTAGAATTTATATACTAAAACATACATTCATGTTAAGTGTACACATCTATAAGTTTTGACAAATGTGGGCATCTCTTTGTGTATCAAGATATTGTGTCTTGCTAATGTTCAGAAATAAGAAAACTCATTTGACTCGGGGAATAGGGAATTTTAGTGTCCTTAATTATTATTATTTTTAACTATCATTGCAGATAGTCCTTAGAAGCTGGGTGGGATTGCATCCAATGATGAGAAAGGGATGGCAAGTAGGTGAGGATTAGGGATGAAGGAGTCTGTGGAGTTCTCATGTAGGAGACATGTGAGAGATAAGACTGGAGCTATATATAACATAGTCACTTCAATTCCAGACTAAGAAACAATAGTTGTAATAACATTTATGGAGCAATGACTCTGTGTTCGGTATGTTCCTTGGATTGTCATAATCCTCTCTGCTACCTTATGTAATAGCCTTTTATGAGTGAAGGAACAGAAAAATAGTTTAATTCAAAACCCTAGAGCTTATAAATACAGTAGATACTTATGCTCAACTTTAGAGCTTATGGACCACTCAACCACTGTACTTTCATCACAAGTTATTGACTTCACTACACAAAGTTACTATTACTTGGAGAGTTGCTGACGATTGGATGCTGGTGGTTTTGTAAGTAATTAGTAGGAAATTAGGGAAGCTTACTTTTCTGATATATATAGTCTTCTCAAACCAATATTACGTTATCTTTCACCAGCTGACAATCAGATTTAAGTTCTTATAAAAGCATTATAGTTCTCATCCCTATTAGTAATCTCTTGAGAGGTCATTGGCATTACCAGGGGGGTCAATCACTTCAAAACCTTTAGTAGAGTACTCAAAGCAATAAGGCAATAAGGCTTGACTAGACCCTGCAACACACACCTCGGGCCCTGGGTTTTATGTGACTACCTTAGCCTCACTAAAATGTGTAAGATCTAGAACTGCATCCTAGTTCACAAGACTGCTTTCAAGAGGATTTGAACACTTCCTAGGAAATTAGAGTTTTGCTGAAGATTGAACGCCCCCTGGAGGACAATGGTGTAATATGTAACTTTGAGTACTATCACAGATGCCTAAAACAAATACACCTTCCCTTTTTGTTAGCCCAAAATAAAGAACAGGAAAATCAGGCCTCTGCTGAAATAACCCTTATTTTTAAATGTGTTTTATGAGTATATAAATCAATAAACTTTATTTAAATTTTTATAAATATCATAATCCATTCCAAGTTCCTCCTCCCCAAATAACCTTTATATTCTCGCTAATGAGTTTATTTTCCTAGTATACAATTTCATTAGTCAAATGAAAGTCTTTATAAAAGAACAATGTAAGGGAGCATTAGAGGACAGACATAACCCTGCTCAGAAAAGACAATGTTAAATTCCCACACTTTAGTTTATAACTCTCTAGACATGGAATTAAGAAGTACAACCTGAGTGAGAAATTATCCCCTTGCCCATATTCTATATGCATATTTTCAGTTAATAATGTCACAATTTTGAGTCCTTTTTTAAAAAAATCAGAACATTTAAGTTAGATGACTAAAAATTGCAGTGTGTAAGCTACTGGTAAAGAAAAATATATTTCAAAAATATATTTTTATATATTATATAAGGGTAAAGGCCCTCCCGTTGATCATCGATTTGCTCGAGCGGGCCTAGTAACGTCTCCATTGGAGACTTTGTTGTTACTGTGTCTGGCATATCGAATACTCTCGGTAGCTTGCCGGGCTCTCCAAGAGGGGCGGAGGAATCGAACTCGGGTTGGCCATGTTGGCCGCATGCAAGGCAAACGCCCTACCCACTGTGCTATCACTCCAGCCCAATAGTTATAAATAAAAATAGCAGGATGTAGTGCCCATTTGTAACCAGGCTGAAAGAAATTCAGATATTCTTGTCAGAAAATTTCCATCTCGGTCCAAGAATTCATGATGCCACAAATATGAACCACATACTAGGACTCATGACCATGTAGTAAAGGTCTGATATGTCTGATACTTCATTTTTTAACCCCTTAAGATGCTTATATACATGAAAAACTACTTAAGTTAGTTTTATAAGGTTTTGAAAGTTATCATTTTATTATCTGAAGGAGTTTCATCAGGAAATATTTAAATAATGGTCTTTCCTCATCCTTGTCCTTTGGCAATATTCTCTTAATTTCACCTTTTTTTTTTGGAAAATTTATTTATTTATTGAATCGCTGTGGGAAAAGTTACAAAGCTTTCAGGTTTAGGTCTTGGTCATGCAAATATCAATCACATTTCCCTTTACCAATACTTATTTTTCACCACGAAGAACCCCAATAAACCCACCCCCCACTCCACCCCCCCAATGCCTGTGGGGCAGATGAATTCTAGTTAACACTCTATCTACTTTGACTAGCTTCATTGTTTCGATAAAAGTTGGACCATTATTAGAGTTTACCCCCACCCCAAATCAGTCATGCTGAAAAGGCATTGTGAAATGATTTGCTTTCTATAGCTGGGTTCAAGAATTAAATGATGTCTGGTTTTGGATTTCTGCTATTTTACTTATTAACCCTGGAAGTATTTCTACTGAGAGTCAGATAATTAAGAGATTGGTTTCTGTGCTCTGGAGTCGTGGCCGTGCCAGAGAGCCGCTCGTGGGGGGCAACTGGTGACCTCGGTAGGGTGTGAAGGATGCGGGCCGGAACGCCCCCCCCCCCCCCAGTCCCATGAGGTTTCAGTCACGCCCCTACCCCCGGCTCATACCTGCTCTCCACAAGACTCCCATGCAGCCGCCATCTTTCTTTCCAGAGAGGAGAGGGCGAAAGGGAGCAACACCCTTTCCCCTCCGGGCAGACATGATGGCCTGGATTAACGCATAGTCCTTTCACTTTTCTGCTCCAAGCTGCTGGGTTCTGCATTAAGTCCTTGTGCTTCTGGAGCCGTGGCCGTGCTGGAGAGCTGCTTGTGGGGGGCAACTGGTGACCTCGGTAGGGCGTGAAGGACGGGCCGGAACACCCCCTGTCCCATGAGGTTTCAGTCGCGCCCCCACCCCCGGCTCATACCTGCTCTCCACAAGGCTCCCATGCAGCCGCCTTCTTTCTTTCCAGAGAGGAGAGCTTAATTCCACCTTTGACTTTTATAAATACCTGGAAATTTTGATCTAATCATCACCTATGTGCTTGCTTATCTGTGAAGCAAGGCAAATCATAAAGTGTGCCAACCAAACCGGAATATTTTTAAGAAATTGATAAAAAGTTATGTAATGTAATTAACTTTTAGGAACACTTTGGCAAATTGTAACACACTAATATACATATCCTGCAAGGTACATGTTGTTCTTTTTTATATCCTTCTCTGACTATCCACAATAGTTCTCTCTCTGACATCAATAAGCATAAGGCAATCTAGGATGTGGGTAGCCTTATTGGCTCAAGACTTTCAAGTCATACAATGAGTTTACTCATTTATCTTGGCACAGTTAGAGAACGGAAAATTCTGATTAATTAACTTCAAATTTCTAGAGATAGGCAAGCTCCTAGGATGTCAGGAATGGAAGATTCCCGGAGATGATCCTAGTTACTTATTTTCAGGTGCTTAAAATGAAGAATTAAAGATAAGTGTTCATAACCCCATATTCTCATTTCTGTATCTTCACAGGACAGCAACTCTTTCTTCTGATAAGTTTTTTCCAAACTTGGGAAAAACAGAACAGCAAGCCCATAAAAATCATGAAAACTCTATCAGCAGCAGTTTCTTTGAGAATCTAGAAGGCTTCCAAGATACCTATAGGTCACAAAGTTGTACTAAGGACTATGATTCTCAGAGCTTCTGTGCCTTCAAGATATGATGAGAAAATATTTCCTTTTTTCTCAGAGCCCCCCTGGGTGATGTGCTCAATGTGACTCATGGGCCGATTTTACACTAGAGATGGAGAAAGTGATCTTTGAGAAAGCAACTTTCTGGGGAGGGATGGTTGATTATCATTTGTTTCCTTGGGTACAATTATTAACTATGAGTGATAAAAAATGCTTAAGATGACTTCTTCCATTTCCAGAGTTCTCATTAGCCTCTCTTTACAAAGTAGTACAATTTATAAATCAAGTTGACTGGGTCTGATTCAGATAAATCAAACCAGAAGCTAACCGATTTGTAAGTCCTAGTTCCAAAGAAGAAAATTAGAATTTGGAGAAAATAGAGACCTGAAATTATCATCCCACATTTGCATAAAATAGTTTCTCATTCTATGGCCAGTCCCAGATGTAGCAAATGAATTGGTCATATATACCCAATGGACGCTCCTCAAGATCCAAGACACTTTGTTTTAAACTCAGGAAATTATTAGTTATTATCCTGAGGACA